CCTGAATTGTTTTTTTTTTTTTATTGTTGATTCCAAAAACAAATCAAAATCATCTGGTTTGAAAATAGGAATTAGGATCTACTCCTCACACAAGGCGCCTCACACCGACCTCACATGCACATCTAACCTTGCATTGGGAACATCTCCCATAAATAATAACGGATAAATATGGGAGATGTTCTCAATGCATGGTGGGATGTGCATGATGTCGGTGTGAGGCACCCTATTTGAGGAGCAGATCTGGTCTCTGAAAATAGATTGTTTCTCAAAATGAAAGCAAGAAACATGTTCTTAGTTGTGTATGTGTTTTTTGTTTTAAATTATTTGGAGAGTAAAATTTGTTTTTGTTAAAAAAAGAATATAATTTCAATGGTTTTCAAAATATAATTTGTTTTTGAAAACAATACCATTTGTTTTCACTTCTCAAAACAAAAACAAGGTTGTAAAACATATTTTTGTTTTCTGCTAATGTAACAATTTTAAAAATAAATGAAAACAAAAACATTCACATTACCAAACACTCGTAAGCCAAGGTGCAACATGAGCAGGCTCAATTGGACTTTTATCAAAATTAATTTGAATTGGCCTGACCCAAAAATCTAAAACCTGAAACAATATAAAATGCTAATTCAGACCTATCCAAATTGCACTCCTATCTTAACGGCATCATACAAACTTGTTTTTGTTTCAAATTTTTGTAGTATAAAACTTCAAATGTCCATAATCAATTAAAAAAACAAAAAAAAACAAAACTGACCATAGGAGATGCTTCCCAATGTATAATTAGCAGGCTGAAACTGAGGTCTTGTCTGTATAACGAAACTAACCAGATGATCATCACACTACCAAGGCACCAAACAACAAAGTGATTGCCAAAAATACAAGCTCCCCACATGCTTAACAAAGTTCTTCCATAAGATCAATAAAAGAATGTACTAGAAGATATCTTGTTTCCCTCATTTATATAAATTTTGCAAAAGAGAGGTACCTTGTTACGCTTTATATATATAGACTGAACTAAAAGAAATGGAAAGGACAAACAGAGCTTTGCAAATTGCAAGTCAGCTGCCATCTTCCTTTTTTTTCACTTCTTGTGAAGGGTCACAGTGTCACACGGTAGTCCTTTTAATCACCCAAGGGCACCTCTGTCCTTTGGTCATAAATGGGCTAGGTGGGACCATCCTATGAGAGTATCCCCACACCACCTCTTGCCACGTGTCTGCCATTAAATGCATCAGCATTTGCTTTCTCATTCATTTTGAGAGGGAAAGTTGATGGTAGGATCGCGTGGGGCCCACTTCAAAATGGTGATCCTTGCACGCCTTCTGCTGCTGCAAATAATTTCGTCCCCATTTACGGCCCGGCCGACACTCAGGAAAAGGGCAGTTGTGTTCTCTCCACTCTCCTAATGTCCTACGCCCTCTCTCTCTCTCTCTCTCTCAAACTACTGTGAAAATCTAAGAAGAAAAGAAAAGGAAAACAGTGGAAGTACAGAGTGGATGTGATCGAGTGCTCTGGGCTCTCTAGACAAGCATTTGGGTAGTTGGGTTGAAGGTTGGACTCGGTATGGTGCTGGGGGCAAATCCTGACCTGACCCAGTTAGTTAGCCTCAACCCAAGTCCCCACCTAACCCGTAGTTAGTTAGCAACCCGGTGGACTCGGGCCTGGAAGTGTTTGACATAGGAGTAGACAGAAAAAATAGGAGATATGATATGGAACCCATTACCTACCCGAACCCATTAATGGTTTTACTATCCCAATCTTAAACTCTACCTAACCCGGTCAAGAGGGTCAGTAACCCGNGCCCTCTCTCTCTCCCTCATCTATCCATCTATAATTGATTATTGAATGCAAATCTCCTGGCAAGAACCGTGTAGGACTAGAAGTAGTAGTGGTTAAGTAAAGTCAAAATACAAGTGTAGTAGACTCAGGCCCACCTAATCCATGGCATGGGTCTAAGCTATCTGGCTGATGAATATGAAACCCTAGCTCACTGTATGTCCATATCAGTCTGTAGTTTTCATATGAGGTCCCCCTTACCAAGTGTGGAAAAGCAGTGAAAGTTTTTTGGAATTTTGGTTGAAATTGGAAAACCAACCAATCCCATTGGGAAGATTCAAGCATTTATTTATGCAAATTATGTAAATGCCGAATAGTGTCTTCACTAGATGGAGTTCCATTCAGGACAAGCATCTATTTTGCTTTTTTTTTTCCCTTTTTTCTCTTTTTTTTTTTTGGGTGGCGGGGGGATAATTCAAGCCATCCATTTCATGAGAATTTTCATGGACAAGATCCCAACTTCTAATAATTAATGCATTTAGTTTGCCCCTATCTGTTATTGAAAAACAAAAAAAAAGTTTTTTCAATGATTATTTTTGAATTTACTTGTGGAAATTAAATCATGATTTTCTGACATCCTAGCTAAATAAATGATGAAAAAAAAGGCTGAAACTAAATGATTTTTCGAGTTTAATAACCCAAAAAGATTCTTAGAAAGGATTAATGCAAATAGAATGCGGGTTTTGTTTGCTAATTATGTTGAATCCATTCAGATGTAAAAAATTGGTCTTTTATGTAGGTGATGCCTCAATGTTTAAGAATGTCAAGACATATCAGAAATTGCTATTAATTAATTACATCATAGAATGACGAGTGAAGAACCCTAGCATGCTCTGGTAGTCAATTATTGTCGACCTTTTAAATGAATTTTATATGTTACTATTTTTCCTTAAATTAAAACACTACTTTACAAAATGGGCACCGGCCCTATTTAGTGGTAGTACATTGTTCATGGCACACCAGTACATATTTGGAAGAAAGGGAATAAAAAATAATATTTTTGAAAGTTTTGATAGTTGTATTGTTACATTGAACTTATATAAAAGTCATAATAATTAAATTAATCAGCACCCACAGTTATGAGAAGTCATGATCCTTGATAGAGTGGAGTGGCAGAGCAGAATTCATGTATTCATGTAGCAGACTCCAAATAATTAGGATAATAGTAGAATCCCTAATCAACAAATAACCCCACAAGCCATAACATTCTAATGAGATCAACAGAGAAGTCAGAGGAAATAAAAGAACAGCTTGACTTATAAAATTACAAAAATTAATGAAGTTAATTGATTTGGTCACTATCATTTAAAGGCAATGATCTTGAGAGGATATTTAAATGTGGGTTTATTAGTAAAATTGTCAAACTTGAATAAATTAAAGAATTAAACCCAATTTATATAGGGTTTTGTTTTTGAAGAAAATTGTGGAATTAATTAAGTAGTTTGTGATTTAACTGTGGAATAAGAAAATCAGATACATGGGTCCTAGTGGAGAAGTCTTGTTTCACGGACTGGTCTAACAAACCAGGTGGTTTTGCTTGGGAAGTGGAGAGAAGCAGTCCAGATGTAGTAATATTTAATACTATTTTATTATTATTCCATGTTCATCACTTTCCTCAAATAATTTCATGAGATCATCTTGTCCCCCCAAACAAACTAATTAATGAATATTTCTCAAACAAAAGAAGACATGACCACGAATTACATGGCAGATTCCTCATCTACAGTGGAAACCTGGTTATTTTACAACCAAGGAACCCGGTCCTTAACCAACAACACATCTTGAGAAACTAATAGAAAACTTATCATTTGGCATAAGATATATTTCTCATCTTGCATCTACTCGAGAAGGGCCTTGTGATATCTTACATGCACAGGGTTGGACTGGTAGATGGTCCTCCCTAGAGCTCCTTGGTGAGGACCCACATTAAGGATATCTATCTTGACCATCCAATCCCAAGACATGTTAGAGATCATCTTGAGATCAATGTCCACATTGATATCCAAAAAAGAAACAAGGCATACACTGGAACCCAACAACTCTCATAAGTTCCCAATACATACTTGAGAAAAACAAACTGCTTGACCTTTTGTGGGGAAGAAAAGGGTGTCTGAATCTACCTGGAAATTTAGTTGTCTTTGTCTGAAAGGATGAATAAAAGAAAAAAAAATAATAGAATATTAGGAGAAACAAAAAGATACCCAAGTGAGACAGGCTCAGTGTGTATGTATTAATTGATAATTGTTTAATCAGAAAAGGATGGATTGTGGCCTTGTGGGGAGGGGATTGATACACGACTGCAACAGATAGTCAATCCGCCATTGGATAAATCTTATCTCATCTCTGAGCTCATGCTTATTGGAAATGAAAGGGATCCATCTGGAATTTTGCAGGCCCAATCCCTTCCCTTGCCTCTTTTAACAACTAAGGATTGCCCTACCCCTTCCCCAAAAGGGCCAAAACCAATAATTCTGTCATACACGTGACAAAATAGCCTCACCCACTTAAGTCCTTACCTTTTCTCTATAGAATCAAAGAAATTAATTAACAAAGGTTCCTCCTTAGCTCCTTGAATTGAATCAACTATTTAGATTTGATTACTTAAGTTTTAGTCCACCATAGGAGGATATATAATCAGACATTCAATTATATATACTAGTTCCCATCACTTAATTCTTTAGGACACAGACCCCAAAGGCCCACACTCACAAGCTTCATTTGCACTGCTAATTTGAGACCTGGGACCTCACCCCAAGTCCACAATTCACCCACACAAAATGCTATGCACTTTTTACTGTTTAGAAGTAATCAGATGCAAGAACTTCATCAACCCATGGATTCCAATCCAATGGTTATCATATCACGGGGCCCAGGTACTTATATCTTGGCCAATGAGGTGGAATGGGTCAGTTATAGTCCATGGAATGGAGACATAGAGCCTTTTGTTTACCATGCATTCTTTGATTTTTCATCTTTTTCCTAGAACTACATTATGTCTGTCTTTCAATGTGTCAATCAGTCCTCAAATTCTCTCCATCTGCCCCATATAACCTTGATTTTTTTATTATTTTTTACAGTTCAATATTTATGAAATATTTATAAAAATTACATCAAAAAAATGATTGATATTTCCATCACGCAAAACCTTAAAGTACTGATCTCGTACTACAATAATCTCTTTCTCTCTCTCTCTTTCTCTCTCGTCATTTTTTTCTACATTATAAACGACTAATAATTCTCACGATCTCTCCAACAAAACCAATTACCATCCTCATCACCAATCTCCAGTCTCATCCCACATCTCTCTACCTTCATTCCTTCACCTCTCTCTAGTCTCTGGTCTCGTCCCACCTCTCTCTCTCTCAATGGCGACAAACCATTTTCCTTCAGAACTCCAAGAAGGGTTTTGGTGGACAACACAGGACCCTGCAACAAGGATCCCAACTTCGAGATACAAAGGTGTAGTGCCTCAACCCAACGGCCGTTGGGGAGCTCAAATCCAAGAGAACCATCACCGCCTCTGGCTGGGGACCTTCGACTCCGAAGAGGCCGCCGCCCGGTCCTACCTCCGTGCCGTGTCCATGTTCGGTGGACGCGACTCTGCTCTCAATTTCAACCCAACCCAACACGACAATAACGAGGAGGACCTCGAAGATCAACAGACAACTGAAGACAGAGAAACCGTCGACAACGATGACACCGACCACGCAAACCAACACCACCACCACCAAGAGGAGCGGGAGCACATGTTCGAGAAGCCATTAACGCCCAGCGACGTTGGAAAGCTGAACCGTCTCGTCATACCCAAGCAGCACGCCGAGAAATACTTCCCCCTCGGTGGCGGTGACTCGGGTGAGAAAGGCTTGTTACTGAGTTTCGAGGATGAATCGGGCAAGTCCTGGAGGTTTCGCTATTCGTATTGGAACAGTAGTCAAAGCTACGTCCTGACTAAAGGGTGGAGTCGTTTCGTCAAGGAGAAACGACTCGACGCCGGCGACGTTGTTTCGTTTGAACGCCGTAAGCTCAACGGCGACCGGTTCTATATCCGGTGGAGGCGCCGTCCCGTCCCGGTGCAAGATAGCGGTGCAGTGCAGGAGATTCCTGGTCCTCCAATGAGCGCGTGGACCCGAGTCTTCTACTCTGCGCATCCTTATCCTCCGCACCCTCATGGCCCTCCTCCTCTACTATACCAACCTGACTCTCTTCATCATGCAAGCATACCTACAGGTACCAAGTACTCTCTCTCTCGAATTTTAGAATTTTGGAAAAATAAAATCGAGATGAGAAATAAATGACGTCATATTCACGAGAAATTGAGCGGTTACTGTGTATGCACGTGTTGCAGGAGCTCCTGTCATTCAGAACCCAACTACGACGGGGAACTCCAAGCGACTGAGGCTGTTCGGAGTGAACCTGGACTGCCAACTCGACCATCCCGGTCCACCCACGCACGACGGTTCGCCTTTACTGAACCAGGCTCTGCCACCGCATCTATATACTCAACCTCACGGTTCAAATGGCTATCAGGTAAGACCACTAGCCAAGTAGCTAGTAGCCAACCCATTTGGGACAAGCTCATTAAGCTGTGTTTAGTAAGAGTGCAAATGTAAAATTGAAGGAAATTTGCACTCCGGTTCAATTTTATAGGCATTTATTAAGAAAACATTTTTTTCAACTGTGTTTGCCTTTAAAATGAAAGTAAAGTTTATTTTCAAGGTTGTGTTCGGTTGCAGTGTAATTTTAATATCACTAGCATAAATGCATGAGAGTACAAATAAAAAGAATGATAATTCTCGTTTAATTTTGTTTTGGATTTTATTTTATTCCGCCTCAGGTCTTATTTTATTTTACTTCAATCAAACAAAATAAGATAATATTTGAAATAAAGAATCAGAATTTGCACTATCATAGTTTTATATCCATATAAATAAATTTGCACTTAAAAGCTTAGTTTGGAAAGAATACAGATACAAATATGTACAGCACAAATCTTGTATTTTGTATTATTTTGTATGTATTTGTATAAATATATACAAAATACAAATTTTTATACTTTAAACCTTGTTTTGTACGATATATATTTGTATTTATATTCTCAACATGGAAGGAGTACAAATACAAGTATATACGGTGCAAATACATACAAAATACAAAGTTTTGTACTCTATATGTTTGTATTTCCAAACTGAGCCTAAACAAAATTTAGCCTTGAGATTCGTGTTTGCACTCTCGCAACCAGACAAGATACTGTAAATTAATGAACACAAAACCGAACCAGCTTTGTATTCTTCTATACAAATTTGCATTCACACAAGTGCATTCACCTTTTGCACTCTTACCAAACACAGCCTTATTTTTAACCGTAGATTCTGAGGTGGGCCATAGGCCCGTTTAGTGGTTTCAGAATATTGTATGCTGTGTATGTGCGATCAACATCCGTGAAAATGGAGCCCACACGTTGAGGAGAAAATTATGGCCGTGGGCTTAGCTGGGCTGTTTGATTAGTGGGCCATGGCCTAAGATAGCATCCCCGACTCCCTGAGCCATGAACCACTTCTGTGATATTGTCAGATTGTGGAGAAATTTGGAGGGGTGGTGGCCCACTGAATGTATGTTTTAGATGAAGAGACAATTAAGCATATTAAAGTTGATTGATGGTACTGACATTTTTTTTATCTGTACAACAACAGTTACAAATCTGGGTTATTCCTTAAATGGAATACCTGCTCTGATAATTTGCCGATATTTTGCCAACAGGAATTCAGCTTTTCGCATACGAGAAATCGCTGAGGAGATCTGAGGATGTGACGTAGTGGATTGACTTAGAAGAGCACTTGTAGAAAACTGAAAAAAAAAAAGAAAAATTTTGAAAAAGAAAAAAAAAAAAGAAAAAGAAGAAAATCCCTGATTTTCAGGCAACTTCTCACAAAACTGATAGAATTTCCAAAGGGCAGGAGTACGAAGTGTCGGATCAAAGAGTTTGAAGAATGATAGGAGGGGAAGGTCGGAGAAGGTGGGACCCCAGAAAAGTTAGGGCTGACATCAGCAATTCCACCCCTTCTAGTAATTTGTATCAGGAATCTGCTGTTACTGTTAAGATTCTCTGTGGAGATTTTTCACACATCCCATGATAATATGAGCAGGGGATGGTGGGTGATGGGTGAACGAAAGGACTGGAGATTACAGCCAATGTAAGTACTGAACCTATGTTCTTCCATGTAGCCACAAGGTTCTTGGGTGCTCTGTGGGGCTGGAGAGAGAAAAGAGAGAGAGAGAAACAGAGAATATTGTTTTACTTTTCAATGGTAATGATAATGTACGTCAAGTTGATAGATGCTTGATTTGTTTTTCTTTTTCTTCTATTCCTCAAGAGAATTGACTTGGGTATGCCAAAACCATGATTATGATGACGTTGCTGCTGATGATGATTATGTTGATGAGGATTTCGCATCATGGCCATCACCCACATGCATGAAACAATTAGTAATTTCAATTCACATACCCATCAGAGTGATTCTTATCTACTTCATACTTTCTCTCTTCCATGCTTCACCAAAAGATAAATGATAAGATAAAAAGATATGTTTGTCGAAAGAGGTGGATGTATTCAAATTGAATGCAGTCAACTTGCAAGGTCTAAGAAATGAAGTGTAGAGAGTCAAATAAAGCGGCAACCAAACAACTGGTGATCAATGCATTCAAACTTGCTTCAACCTGAGATGACTTTTAAATTTAATGGTTGAAATAAACAAGAGCATGCTAGACAGTGAATGAACGATTGCAGCCTTCTAGGTTCTCATTTCTATGGGTTGATGATCTATAAAATAATGATTTAGATAGATTATGCATTAAAAATAACCAAGTCAGAATCAGCAGCTCATGAACCATATAATAATAAGGTAATCAGTGTACACTTGAAGTAAATAAATCAGAACCAGCAAATGATGAGAAGGGTAGGTCAAGAAGAAGGTAAAAGGAGATGAGAGTGAGGTGGTGGAACCGCAAAAGTGGGTTTTTCCAGCAAAGCACAGAAAGTTGATGCGTTTCCTTGCAAGCTACAGTGGCTATTGAGCCAGTGATGATGTATGGGCGCTAAATGACCAATATGGGAAAGCTTTAACTGTATAACCAATCAAACTGTAGTATCCCGTGACCACAGGAACCCAAAGAGAGTAGGAAATGAAACATAACCATTAACATCACCTTGATGGATCCAATGTTTAGTGGATCAGTAAGTTTTTCTACTTGGATGGGTCACCAGATAAAGATATGAGCTGTTATCATTGGCCTAAAGTTGGTGGCCAATCACATATTCATGCAGACTCTACCCATATAATGGGTTTGTCTTGTTAAGTATGAATATAGAAAGATCTTGTGGGGTTCCCCCCAACTTTACTTTTCCTAGAATTAAGCTCTATTTTACAGCTGCTTGGGTTTTGCACCTGCTGGGACTTAATTCACCTGTGGTGAAGATAACCAATATACTGAAATGGAATTGGAAGTAGATGGAAACAAAGCATGATTTAAAGAAAAAAAAAATCTGAAGGAGCATTGAAATTAAGAATCTAATTGAATTACCTTGCTGTACAAGTGTTGAAAACTGTATTAATTATTCAACACTTGAGGGCCTGCCACCTCTTTGTTAACCAATGTCCATGTCCCTCCTCTTATTTGACAAGAGATAGGTCATCCATAACAAAGTGTATATCTGTACCTTTTCAGGAAGGGCCCATCAATGATTTGGTAAAAGATGTGGACTAGTGATCATAGAAAATGTTTCTTAATACCTATTGACTTAGAAAACTCAATCAATGACTATTTGGGGCAGAAGCTGAAGTGTCCAAACCCAGTAAAAGAATACATAGAACGTTAAGGACAATAAATTATGAGCAAAACTCCCCCGCAAGAACATAATCCAACCCTGAAACAGTAAAACCAATTGGCATCCTTCAACCCTCGTTGTGATCCTTTATGCACGCCTTGATAAAGAGTAAGAACCCCTCCAGATCCAAAGGTTATTCTTGATCCAGAGATTTGCCAAGTGGTGAGCTTATAAACCCGGAAGTAAGAGCCAGTTTTTCTATATTCAATCTCAACGTTGTAATCCAGCTTCTCATAGTCACCTCAAAATCATCCAATTTTGTGCAAATTTTAGCAATTCTAGGGCGGTTTCCCTCTCCAACAACAAATGTGCACACCTTGCCCCCAACTCTTCTCCATCTTCACCCCACTGTCCTTGATATGCTTTCTTGCCTGCAAAGCATGATTTCTAGCATTATCTCAAACATGTATTTTACTGAAATCTCAGCCAATTCAAAATTCCCATGGTTCCAGAAAGACGCCAACAGCGACTCCCACATGGAAATGGTACCCTTGATTACTTCCCAGGATTGATCATTAATCCCAGCCCTGCCAAGAAGGTTAACCATGTAAGAATAGTGGACATTGGGCTCCACATATCGATATTTCATCATCAGTCTAAATATCTTTGTCCTTTTCAATCAACCCATATGACTACAGGCAAATAAAACTGAGAAACAAGCAAATTCGTTTGGATATGTGCCCATTTTGCATTTCAATGGTCATTATCCAATGTTGGCCCTGGCTATCCGGGATCTTGGAGGGATGGACCGGATACAGACCTAACCTTCAGCATTTTCTTTTGGAGTGTAGTGTCTCAAATTCAAAGCTACCCATGACTGATAAACATCTCAAGTAGAAATGAAACAAAACAACTGCCAAATTCCCAAATTTTTCACTGGAGTCCACATACTGCAGTTTAAACCTCAAAATTGGAAACATAATGAAAGTAAATTTTGTTAAAAAGCTGCTCATAGAATATCAAAAAGCTACATATTGATTTTACAGTAGATGCATTTATGTATCATTTTTTTCTTGAAAATAATTTTCATTCACTTCGTGGTTAGACAATCAACTCGATCCTTTTAGTCTATCTCCATGCTCTTCCTTCTCCACCATGATTTTCTGGACACTTTCTTAATACTCATGTATGAAGTTCATGAGAGCATCTCTGTAAGCAGATGCTTTTGTCATGTAAACATGGTGCAAAGCAGGCCTTAGAGTCTTCATTCCACCTCTAGCAGCAGCGCTGTTTCCAATTCATCAAATACACTGAACCAAGGTAAGATGACCAAATCATCATGATCATCTAAGCCTTGTCCCAACTATATGGGGTAGGCTACATGAATCCAGAATTCTCTTTCGCCATTCCATTCTGTTCAGTTTCAAGGTAAGATGACATAATAAGTTTAGAAAATTGAACAAATATGCATGATAAATTGGAAAGATATCTTAATTCCTAGAAAGCTTATGAAATTGAAGAAAAAAGTAAGACAAAATAGAAATATATCTTACTTTACTTGGTTATTCCCTAACAAAGCATTGGGCATTAGAAATACAAGTTCCGACTAAGGTTGAAAGGTAACAAGTCATAAAAACATCAAATGCTGTATTTACAAAACAAGGTCCAAAATATCAAAAACAGTGACTGAATGATGCTACTGCTGCTCAACCATTGAAGGGCCATGGAAATAATATTGCTTAATGTTGTTCATTCACTTATCCTAATAAAGTATCAAAGGCAATTAAAGTTATAAAATCATTATTTTTAATGTGAAAATTAAGAATTTAAGACCCTAACATGGTCTTGTTTGGGCTTGCCTCGAGGGGTGTGGCACAAAGGTGGCTTGTAGAACCAGGAATGTAATATGTTTTACATCACATTAGCTACTTGAAGTAATGCAATTGAGGAAAAAAAGAGATTGTGGGTTTTACATTCTTGAAAATGTTTTATACGTTTGATTTTATTTTTAAATTTTCATTTGAATACGTTTTACATGTTATGTTTATGTATTTTAATTTTTGATAATAGGTTTTTTGAAACATTTATTTTAAAATTTAAGTTTATATATTTTTATTTATATTATGTTTAATATTTTTTGCATCTTTTGAATTTTTTGGCATTTTTTGAATTTTCTGACATTTTTTTTTTATTTTTTAGCTTTTTTTTTTGTATTTTTGCTCCTTGCTTCAAGAATTAAGCTTACAGTTTGCGCCTTGCGCTTGCGCTTTTAAAACACTGTTTCCAAGGAATATGTGAATGCCTATCTTTATAACCATGGAGAAAAAATTGTTAGTTAAAGAGAAAAAGTCTACCTTGAATTTTCATCTATAAAGAGAAATTATTAAATGTGTATACATACATAAAAATGCACAGCTGTAAGCATGTTAAAAATATACTCAACATAGGACATAAGAGAGGAGAAACCCAAGTAGTCCATGACTCTACTTGAGAATTCATTTGATAGAATCAAATAAACCACATTTAAGTATGTGACAAAACATTAAATCCACATACTAAACTAGTGAATGACCATGTTCTCAGCATGAAAACTTATACATACATTGTTTGAGACCCATTATCCAAGTGGTAAATCCTGAAGCATTTAGGCATTTATTTGAGTTAGGACACTAAATTAGGCTTGATTTGTAATTAAAAAAACCCTTTTTAGAATATTGGGAACTATGAGAAGTTATCTTGTCTGAGGGTTTTGCTTTAATAAATACATAAATAAGTAGAGGTATTTTTGTGATTCCCAAATAATCCACAAGCAATAACAACCAGATTGGTAAGTGTTTAAATTAATAAAAAATGTTGTAACGGATGGCTTACTAGAAAGTCTACTATAGATGGTAAATTTAATAGCCATAAAAATGAATGGAAAGAGGTAGCAATCACCCACCAAGGTCTTCCAATATAGAGGGTTCTTTTTCCTTTGTTGGCATAGTTTCTCCATGAGTTTTTACTTGACTCTCTTCATCCTTTCTGTAATCATTAGGCCAAAGAGGACCAATATCATGTACCCAGCTTGCTGCATGAAGCTTAAATGCCTCCTTTAACACCTGAAGATAAAAAAGGCACAATCATCAAATGGATGCAAAAACTTCTCCAAAGATATTCACATGTCCTTTTCTTTTTTTTTATATATCAGTTTCACTTGGCCATTTTTCAAAACAAAGATTTACACTTTTATAGATTGTTACACTTTCACCCCCAAAGTTTGAGAAACAGTAACAAAGCAAGCTATAACAGACTAAGAAGAAAAGAGGAAGAGTGATGTGAGCATCTAAAACTTCTAAGCAAATGGCATGGCTTGCAATATGTATATGTGACTCAATCAGGTCCATCCAATTGATGGGTTACCTATTGAATTCCTAAAATCAAACTAATTGAATGAACCTCATTATCCAAATGGTTAATTATTTCTTTATCTTTATGTTAGTATTGGTTTCAACTTTGCATTTGAGTCCAATGCCAAGCTGCAAAACTATCACGATCATTTGAATTTAGGCACATTCAATAAGTCGATACGTGGTCAATTAAACAGTCCAGGTAAGTAAC